GAAGATGTGGGCCTTTGGCTCCAGAAGAATGGCTTCGAGACATATGTGCGTCAGTTTCGCGACGAACACAAAATCGATGGCAAGTGTTTGCTTACGTTAACGGAAGACGACCTCCGGAGTCCTCCCCTTCACATCCAAGTGTTGGGAGACATCAAACGGTTAGGCATTGCGTTGAGAGCTCTTCAAGAGTCGAACGCAGAGCTCGTGGTCTGTTTGATGGGCCGATCACTGATCGGTTCCCTCGATCTGAACAAACATTCACTCAAATCGCATAACAATCATATGAATCATTCAAATCTGGATTATTTATCAAACGATGATTTCTCGGACGAGTTTCACGTGAATCGGAGTGAAGGCCAGCGAGAGATGAAACCCGAGTCGTGGAAAGCGTTGATAGCAATGCTCTACTTCTTTACCGCCACTTGGATTACGGCTATCGTTATGGTTATAGTTCACGACAGAGTGCCTGATATGCAGACCTATCCACCACTTCCCGACATATTCCTCGACAACATACCACTCATTCCTCACGCCTTCAATATGTGCGAAATCTGTGGACTCGTTTTGTTCATCATTTGGACAGTGATTCTTGTATTTCATAAACACAGGTTTGTGTCCAACCATTCAATTGGTATTTCGCGTCATTTGTAATCTTATTATTTTCCCAAACTATCTTCAGATTCATTCTCTTGAGGCGAATGTTCTCATTATTTGGTTCAGTATTCTTCTTGAGATGCGTAACAATGTTGATAACGTCTCTATCAGTTCCGGGCCGTCATCTGCAATGTAAAGCCAGAGTATGTCTCGAGAAACGGGTTTATATACTATTTGAAGAGAGAATCTAATGTTATAATTAATGTGTTAATCCATGACTAGCCGTATGGGAGTTGGTTAGAGCGTGTGAGCCAAGCATTCCTCATATGGCAGGGCGGAGGGATGTCTATCCAAGGCGTCCGCACGTGCGGTGACTACATGTTTAGCGGTCACACAGTTGTCCTCACTTTACTCAACTTTTTCATAACTGAATGTAAGAAATAACACAATACTATTGCCTTAATGTACTCATAACGTGATGTGTGTCCCGACAGACACCCCGACGAGTCTCTATTTGGTGCACACGTTGTCATGGGTTCTGAATCTGTTCGGCATATTCTTCATACTGGCCGCTCACGAGCACTACTCGATCGACGTGTTCATCGCGTTCTACATCTCCACCCGTCTGTTCCTCTATTACCACACATTAGCTAATAATCAGGCGTTGTATCAAAACGATCGCAAACGAACCCGAATATGGTTCCCATTATTTTACTTCTTCGAGTCGGGCGTTCACGACATCGTTCCCAATGTGTTTGATAACCCGTTCCGTTCACAGCACTGGAAACTCAACGTATTTCTTAAAAAACTAATGCCAAAGGTTTTCGACAAATCCAAACAGTTATAGAAAGTGTTTCATACAAATGAGTGATCAAAAGAGTTGTTTTTAATTTATTATTCGTTAATCAACTTATTTATTAATTATTTAAATTATTTGGCAGTTATTGTAATTTATTTTAATTTTATAAAATCACTTTTTATTTAATATAAATATCTAACGAATTTTTAGACAAACTTTTTATGTCAAACACCAGTATTTGTGTCTTCAAAGAGCAGAACCGGAAAATGCAAAATGTTTTCCAATTTCTTAGCAATAGATAGGAGACGAAAATCATCCAATTTTTTGCCAATCAATTGCAAACCAATGGGAAGTCCATTGTTTGACAGTTTGCAGGGAATAGTTATGGCCGGCAGACCCGCCATATTCACCGGTTGTGTACAATAGTCTTCTGTTGAGACCTGTTGTCTGTTGTCCTTTTGAATCCAAAGCGAATGTAACGGCGCTTCTGTTAGTGTCACCGGAGTTAACAATAAATCAATATTTTGTTTTTCAAACACTGTGTGAAAGTCATTGGCGATCAGTCGCCGCACTTTCAGCGCTCTATTGAAGTAATTCTCGTAATTCTCTCTCAATAGGAAGTAATTGCCGGCAAATATTCTTCCCTTAACGGTGTCGCTGAACGCCTCGTGTCTGGACTTGGAGTACACCTCTTCGACTGTGTGTCCAGTGGTGTCGGCTCTGAAGCCGAACTCAATGCCGTCATAACACGAAAAATTGGACGAAACTTCACAACAGTTGAGCACTGAATAACACGATATCGAGTGTTTTGTGTTGGGAAGCGATACGCGCGACACTCTTGAGCCCATGTTTGACAACATATCGGCCACTGATCTCCACGTGTCGATCACCTCTTGAGACATGCCTTCGCATTGATATTCATCGGGTATTCCGACCTTCAGTTTCGATAAATCTATTTCCTCGTCGAGCGAGAGCTCAATCTTATCGTCGATTGTGGTCGAGTCGAGTGAGTCGTGTCCAACGAGTGCAGCCAAAACGATGGCCACATCTTCCACACATCGGGCCATCACTCCGATCACATCCATTGAATGTGTTAATGGTATCAAACCGTATCGCGAGACCAAACCATAGGTCGGTTTGTAGCCAACGATACCCACTCTGGCGGC